ACGTACGCCTGGCGCGGACTCGCTGTCATGCGGCTACACAGCCGGCTACGTGTATATGGTTGGAGGGCGATCCGGCCAGGTAGAGAGGAGGCAGATGCACGTAGATGCGCGCGTAAGCCCGCCGGTTTTACGATTCGACGGTTTCGCGTTAGTCGGTTCCGTTCCTCGAATCTTGGTTCGTCGGTTCGTTCGGTTCGTTCGGTTCGTTCGGTTCGTTCGGTTCGTTCGGTTCGTTCGGTTCGTTCGGTTCGTTCGGTTCGTTCGGTTCGTTCGGTTCGTTCGGTTCGTTCGGTTCGTTCGGTTCGTTCGGTGTGCAGCATTCGCGGGCCGCGTCTAATCCCGAGAATCCGAGCGCGGCGTATTATTTATACGGGGCGGAATGTGGTGCTGGTGACCGGTGTCGTGGAGAGGTAAACAGCGGTGGTGGTAGGCACAGCCGTGCCGGCGAGGACCGAGCCTCTACCTCTCTACGGTGTGCTCCCGGTCACGACTCGCGGGCTCCCGTATTTGAATACAATGCATTATATTGTCCGCGTCATATCATATATCTCCCGGGTAAATAAACACCGTCTCAATATTTAGGCTCGCGAGCCTATACTCCCCCGGCTCGATCTCGGACCAAAGGGGCGGGTTCAGGGTCGCGAGAGAGCCACTCGGCTACGTACATACGCGGGATCCGCGAGAAAAGGGAATCGAACCGAAGGTATTAGCTTTCGAATCCGTATCGACGCGTGTCGTGCCATCTCGCGGCCGTGTTCGAGGTAATCCGATACGTCAGGCCGACGTCAATTGACATTTAACATGCAGCCGTGCACTTGCCGTTATATGGATCTGTTGGCGCAGTGTATCGCCCCGGGTTTATGATCTCATCGGCCGATTGATTTATGTCGGCAATTATAGCGTAGCTAGGAGTGACGCACGGCTCCGTGTCCCGAATGAGTTATGGGTGTTAATCTCGGGAAAACCAATGAAGGGCGGCCCTCCGACGGTCCGCAGCCTCCACGATCGTTCCCCGCCTCGTTTCCCGCCGCTTTTCCTTCGCCACCCTCCCTCACGCTCCTTCTTTACATCGTCAGTCGACGCACGGACGATCACACCGTTCGCCTAATCCGCCGACACCCGATCGCGCACCTTTTACCGCCACGCCGAACGTCCGAAATATTAACGATCTTCAAGATCCGCGCGAGCTGGAGGAGCTCGCCACTTCCCGGGGAAAGGCTCGCGTGCGCGAACCGCGCTCTCCGTCCAGTCAGCAAGAAAGGGGACGAACGCAGCCTTGGAAGTTATTACTCTGTCTCGCGTAAAACATAATTAGATGACGCTCGTTCGGAGCGATGCCGCTTCTCCGCGAGCAAACCAACCACAACCGCCGTGGCTCTCAACCGTAGTCTCGGTCTTTCCCTCCCCGACTCCGAGGCGAAACCGCTAAATCACGAAGCGTCTCTCGCAACGCTTCGCGGTATCTCCACCGGGAGATCCGACATCTTCGAGGACGAGAAGGAGACCGAAAGGGAGAGGGGTATTTACATTGCTAATGTATCGTCGGCCTAACTTCTAATTAAACAAATTCGCACAACTCAGCGCACCGCGCGGTTGCCTCGTGGAATTGCTCCGAGGAAAGAAACGAGGAAGAAGGGGAGAAGAAACAGAGGTCCGCGGTGTTCCCGGCGGCGGCGGGGGAAGTGGGAAACCAAGGGGAAACTCCCTTCTTGCTGGAGGGGTCGCTCGTTAGCGCTCTTAACGCGACTTACCGCCTGGAGCGCGAGCCTCCGGCCCCTCCCCGATTCATCGAGAAGGAGGAATGAATATTTATAAGAAAGTGCAAAATAGTAGTCTAATCTTTTCTCTTTTTACTTTCGCATCTCCCTCCCATCTGCCTCCTCCCTCCATCACCCCCAGCTCCGCCGGCCCCCGAAACTTTATCGTTATTCCGTACTTTGAATTTGATGCAATTCCCCCGGAGGAAGGAGGAAGAAGAAGAAGAAGAAGCTCGTCGATAACGCTTACGCGACGTCGATTAACGGTCAGACGTTTTTACCGTCTCGGTTAATTTATTCGACTGGCTGGAGGCACGAGGATCGAGCGTTGCCCGCGCTACTAGATTCACTGGCGGCGGTTTCCCTCGTTGATTTAATCGAGCCGGATTAATATCTATCGTCTGTATACCGTCGCGATTCGAGTAACGGGTTCCTTCAGCGAGCCGTTTGAAACGCTTTCGTTTACACGTTTACACGGATTTTCGAGGGAACACCGGCCAGAGTGTCTATCTGCGCTCACTTCCGCCGTCTGCGAGATAAAACACCGTCCCTGAAAACACCTGCACGGCCGACAGAGACCTCCGTCTTCTCTCCTCGATAACGGACGATTCTGCCCGCGGAGGGAACGCGACGAGAGCGTGGGCGTGGGCGTGTTTCTCGCTTCCGCGCTTTGTCCAGGGCGACTGGTCCAGCGACCTTGAAGTCGGCGGACGGTGTCGCGGCGTGCGTGCGCTAAACTCGACGAGCAAGGGCAGGGACGTGAAGAGTTGGTGCGGAGCGAGCGAACGGGCGGCACTTTGTGGGGTCGTAAAACAGCGGCAGCCTTGTAAATCTGTGCCCGAGTGTGCCAGCACTGACAGATTCTCGTCCTCGCGCTAACCTGTAGGAACATCTCGTAATTCTCCTACGATCGAACCACCTATTCGCCGATTGCTCTTCGT